TATATATATATAAAATTCTGCGCAGTACGCACAATGCCGAGACGGCATTTATCGTTACATTAGAAATGAAATCGCGCGATACTGGACGCCGCCAGTTCATTAATGCGAAAGTAAAGTCTCGCGGCGAGAGGGAAACGAGGATCCGTCTTCATTTATATTACAGGCAACGCTATCATCCGGAAAGAGGCGGAGAATCAAGCTCTCGATCAATCGTGTCCGCGGGTAAAGTCGACCGACGACAACGACGACATTGGCGAGAATCCACCATTAATCACATCGGCGGCGCGGAGAAGCGGCCGGTGTCGCGCGCGCGTGCCTCTTCCCGCTTTCCACGCCACCGGAAAAATGGTAACTCCTCCGAGGGGCCGAGACTGTCGAGAGTCCCCCGTGTACGTGTACGTGCGCGTGTGTATGCGTTCGCGCTCGCGCGCCAACGTAACGAATAACGAAATCTCTCCCCGCGTCACCGTCACGAGCGATAAGAGAATAAGAGAGCGGCGGTCGGCGCGGGCGCGCATATAGGTATACACAGCCGTACGGAAGAAGCAAATCGGGTTGCGCATGTAGCTGCAACGTGAGAACGTTCTTGCTTCCATCCAATAACCAACACTTTCAGCTTATTTCGGCGGGGCGCGCGTCGAGTTGAGCGAAGAAAATTTGGAGAAATTGGAAGACGCGATGCCGATCGCGCGCTAAGGCGCGCTTGCTCGCAATGCTCGTCCGACACGCCACGCCACGCCGCGCCGCCGAGAGCAACAAAGCGAAATGAAGCGTAGTCGCCGCGGGCTGTCGCAAATTAAGTGGCAAGGAAGGAAGGAAGGGAAAGAAATGGAGCAGTCCATGGCAGAGAAACTTGCACACGCGGAGCTACGTTTCTTTTTTTATTCGCGAGAGGTAGAGAGTGAGCGAACGAAATTAAGAGAGAGAGGGAACGAGAAGTCTGTCTTCTCGGCGGTGCGCCATGCTCGTTGCTCGTTCGCGGCCATGCATATGCCGTCCTCCGGTCGGCAAAGAGGCTGACGATGGGACGGCCACGCGGCCACCCGTCGTCGAAACGAAATTCATCCGAATGAGAGAAAGAGACGGAAGTATGAGCAGCGGACGGCCTGCTACATTAGCGAATAGCGAGTGCGTGGTTATTGTGTCGCTGTCGCGGCAAGCGTCACAGGCAACACGGCGGCGATTCTTGTCTTCTATTTCTCTTTCTTTCTCTCTCCTTCGCGGGACACGATAAACGCCGCTATTTAACATGATCGTGCGGTATTCATGAATTTATTAGGTTTCCAAAGGTTTCCAGAGACGATTGATGACGAAACGATGACACACACGAGGACGCACGGTTGAAATTTCACGACGCATGGAGTAAACGCTGGTAAACGCACGTTGGTCCACGGCGCGTAATCCGCGTAATAAAGAGGCGCGTGCGAAAACGCATAATGTCCAAGTCGAAGAGGAAACGCAGACACAGACACACAGACTACAATCATTACAGAAAGAAACATGCGGGAGAGGAAACTGGAAAGTGCAAACTGTAAGGGTATAAGAGATAAAGATTGGAGGCAGGCCGAGGCCGAGGCCGAGGCAGTGGAACAGCGGTGAAGCAGTTAGCAGTTAGCAGTAAAAGAAATGTGAGGGTTGCCTTACGTCGCCGGGCTTCCTTCCCCGCTTCTCGAGCTCTATCCGCTTCTCCATGGCCGGCAGTCGGTCCCCGATCCGCTCGTCCTCGCTTCGCTCCGTACCGCGAACGTATCGGCCGTTCCGTCTCTATACTCTCTTCCTCTCTCCTCCGCCTCCTCGTTGCGTCGCAACACCAACTACGTGCCAGCAACCTTGTTCTCTCTCTCTCTCTCTTTCACACAATCACGCTCTCTCTCTCTCTCTCTCTCTCTCTCTCTCGGGTCGGAGAGCCGGGAATATAATATGACGGACGGACACGGCCGAACCAACACGGTCGGTCACCGGGCAGTGCGCGGACAGCGAATGCTACCCGATGTTTGCCTGCAGTGCGTAGCGTGCCCGCTTGACGTGTGCGTATGCGTTGCGCCGCGTTGCGCGTTCTTCTCCGTCCAGGCGTGCTTAGAAGACACAGCGATCGAGAGAACAGAGAAATCACCTCCGACACTCGCTCCCGTTCGATTCCGATCCGCTAAGCTCTTTACGCGCCGCGTCTCTACGTGTCTCTACGCTCGCCGACTCGCCGGACTTGTATGCTGTGCTGTGGACTGTGGTGGCGGTGTCCTCCTCTTCTCTCTCTTTCTCTCTCTCTCACACTCGTTACCCCCTCCTCTACCCGTACCTCCCGCTACTCCAAAGTACTCCACACGCAACACAACACAAGCCGCACCGGAGGCGGGAAACGAGACACATGTCTGGCACTACTTTCGAAGCGACCAATCCGAATGGCCGGCACAGGCCACCGTGCGCCACCTGTCGGCCGCCGCGTTTAACCTTCGTTGAAGCGCGCCACTCTTTGGCGCGTTCAAACATGGCTGCTACGTATCATAGCGTCGCTGATCATTATCAAAAATAAATTTACATTTCAAGACTTCCTGCACACGCCTATGATAATCTATTTTGTAATAAAAATCTACAAAGATCGCTATTACTAAGCTGATTAGCGAAAGAATTACAACTATCTTTGAAATTATTCTTAAACATGCATGCTAATTATTATAGGTAAAAAAACTATCGATATTCAAGAACTATCCAGACAATTACGTATTCGTATATCAATGAAGAAAATTATTCAATTGCATATTTTATGTTTGGCATAATTGAATCTTTTTGTATAAAGTTAACAGCTGCTTAGTAGCTATCAATGTAAATTGCGATAATAATATGATTATATAATTATACAATAAAGTAAAACTTATGTAGGGCGCTCAAACAGATTGCTAGAATATTAAAACTTTTTGCAGAATTATCCATTATAATTCATATTTTATAATATTTCTACGTAATTCTTCCATACATGTGCACATGTACAGAAAAAACGAACGATTGAATTACTACTACACAAATTTAACTATAGACAGATCTAAAAATAATCTTATTGATTATCAAAATAATTGCGTAAAAATCTTAAGTATAATGAACAATTTTGTACAAAGCTTTGATGTATATTTAAACACAATCAGTTTGAACATTCTACATTATTTTTCTTTTATTTGTATAATTCTTATTCATTTTTTACTCCTATTGTTATACTGCTATTACATAATTAGGCATTTATAATAATTATGATTATACTGAAGTCTTACGCATATTCATACTTTTTTCTTATAACTTTATGTAAATTTATTATCCGTATACAATAAAATTTAATTTAATTAATTATTTTGATAGTTGAACAAAATTATTTTACTGAGCTTACATTTTATTTTAATACATGAAACTGTAACAGTTGTTTAGCTATAGCTGTTTAGCTTTAGCAGCTGTCAATGCAAATTGTGATAATTTATTTCAAGTCTAATAGTCATAATATTGGAATGTCTAAATATAATGTATTCGATTAAAAAAAAGATCTAACTCGCAAGTAGAAGGCATTAATGTCTTTATGCATTATCATGGTCGTTTTATGGTTATCGCAACATTGTAATTTGCGTGGCAATCGCCATTTTGATGATGTAACGACGTTACACTGAGGAAATAAGTGTAAAAAAGAATTAACGAGTTAACAGATCAAGCAATTTTTTTACATAAAAAAAATGTAATTTTAAATCTTCAATGTAATTTAAAGCGATTGATATAAATTAATCGTTACTTTTCTTAGATAATTGACGGATAACGCTGTATACAAAATAAAAACATTATCAGAAAAAGCTTTAGTTTTCTGAATTCTGCATGAGAACTATTGAAGAATTTATGGTTTAATTAATATTCATTTTCTCCTGAATAATCATCCCTCACGAAGAATAATTGTACAAAAAATGCAGATTATATCATATATGTTATAATTCAGTACTGTCCATCAAGATTTGTAATTGTCGATATTGACTTGATGTATATCGACATTCATATTTGTTATCTTCCATTTTCAGTCTATTTTTATTTTTATTTAGAGTATTTTTTTTTTTAGTCTATTATTATTAAGAAAAAAGAAAGCAACAGGCGCGAAAGCTGTGTTAAGCCAACATGCTCAGAATTATAAATCTTGTACAGCACTGTTAAATAATTTAATTGTACAATATTTACATATTATTTTACATAATATTCATGTACTATATTAAATAGAAAAGTATGTAATGTGACGTTTCCTAAATATCTCCTGATATTTTTACGATAAAAAAATTTTTACGATTCTAATTTCGAATTTTATTTGAATCGTACGTGTTCAAAATGCATTACCGACGAAGCGATTAGAGTTATAAAATTACTAGCATATGTGATCGTGCATTCATTGATTCGAAAAAGATTGATCGAAGACCATAGGCAACCAGAAAGATGACAACTATACCTTCCACATTTTTATTTTAACAAAATTTTAGACTTAATCTTAATAACGTTATAATTTCGTTGTACGTAAATTAATTGCCTGCTTATTATTTTAATTTTAATTATGTATTGAGAAAATTTTCTAGTTATAAGTGGACGAATCAGAAAATTTTGATCATATTAGTCAGATAATTATTCTGATGGTTATCTCAATTATAATAGAATTATAATAGATTGAAGAAGAAAATTCTGATTTATCCATCCAGTTCGTGCAACAATACCGTTGCAATAACGCTGCAATATTGCTGCAATGTTTTGTGCTGTAATGGAGAATTCCAATTAATGCAACCAGACTTTTTTTCCAGCGTGCGTATAATTCATCTAATATAAGGACTATAACGTGATAAAACTTTTCTTTTCATATATATTTCATGGATTTGTGCGAGAAAAACAATTTATACACAGTGCGACAAATATGTTCCCGGACACGAACCACATCTCAGCAACCAGTGGCAACATCTGTGCGTTCAAACATGCATTTGAAAGGTTTAACATTTCCCTATCATCTGTCAAAGTTTCATTCATTTTGGTTGACATATAACGAAGATATCACAGTTCATGTTAAACAAGATTTTGGTCGAGAAATTTTAATATGGAACAAAAAGCAGTTATTAAATTTAACGCAAAACTTGGTAAAAGTGCATCAGAAACATTCCGATTGATGCAACAAATTTACGGCAATCAATGTCTAGGTCGTACAGCTGTTTTTGAGTGGCATAAGCGTTTTTTGGAAGGCAGAGAGACCCTTGAAGATGACAAAAAATCAGGACGGCCAATTTTGGTT